CACACACACACACACACACACACACACACACACACACACACACACACCAGTAAAAATGAACCTTAAGGAAATGTAGGTAGAATTTAAAAATAGGGAGGAAGATAAGATGTTGACATTTTAGGAAGATATTTAGGTATAAATAGAGTGATAGTTTGTACGACCATTACATTTGTAGCTATTCTAATTGATCGTTTTGTATGTTTAGAGTGCTTTAAGGAATGCCAAGGAAAACCCAACAAATTTCCCTTAAAACAAATGGCACATGTTGAATTTTTTTATGAGCCTTTCCAGGTTCATTTCTGTTGCAAATTGGAGAGTAAATGTCAAGATGAAGTGGGTTATAAATTAATATAAAAGAGTGAGGCAAAAAAGGAAAAGAGGTGAGGCAATTATCATGGGAGAAAATTGTAAAAGAGTGCTAATAAACTGAGGAATCAAGACTAATATTTTAAGGCAATCCTTGAAAAAGGCAAAACCAATGCAAAAGACTCTATGGTGAACAAAATAGTGTTGTTTTCAATGCAAGATGGAAACTAAGGTACCTATAATGGGTTGTTTTAAGGAACTAGTTTGTACAAGAAATAGGAGAGGTTGTATGAAGAAAAGAAACTACGAGCCCATGAAGGCAAGTTGTCTTGCTTGTTTGCTTGCTGTCAAGTCTGAAGAACCTTGAATCCAAGTATCCTAGTTAGCTTGAGCCTTCAAGTTAACACAGCCTAGAGTTACATAGGGGAGTCTCAATTTGTGTTAGGAATTGCTCAGATTGGATTGTGGTCATATCTGTAGAGATGTTTCCTTGATAACTGATCTAAGAGGGTCCAGACAACTGTGAGTGGTACCATCTTTAGGCAGGGCATCCTACTACTGTAGAAGCTTCTTAAAATATATATGAAATAAATGAAAATAGAGTCACCAAATAACAGGGGGAGATAACATCCCAACTAGACATCTTTTCCCAACAAGTGAAATATCCAGTGCCAGAAATGGGTTAAGTTACAGTTGATTCATTGGCCAAAGGGGACCCATGGAAACTTCCAAATAACTCAGGCTATTGCCAAATGTTTCAGTTGCTTTTTCACAAACTAACGGTAAGGCCTTATTACTGAAGGGAACATTTACATAACTCATTGAACATGGAAAAGTCGAGCTGGCACCTAACTAGAGACTTCATCCCTACTGACTAGTGCTCATGATACTGGAAGGTGCTCACATGCTGCTACAGGAGAAAGGCAACCACCGGCCCTGCCGCAAACCCTGGAGTCTATCACGGTGGTCTGGCTGCATGATATACTGGTGCAATAGTGGCACAAATGTTGTGGTAGTAACCCACCACTCTCTGGTGATTTAAAGCCACCCCATGAATTCGGACATACGACTGACACTGCTTATATGACCAGGAACCTGAGACTAGATAGGCCGTGGGTCTAGAAGACAACCAAATACTTCCATTCTACTAAAGAAGTAGTAGAAATAAAATGACTCCTAACAGCATTCTGCTATACTCATAGGTCAGTGTTCTGCTCAACCGTAATTAGGTAAGCTTCCTCTTGCAATAGATTGGAACTAACACAGATACCTACAACCAAATAGTGTGCAGAGAGTGAGAAGCTTTGGAACACCTTTTCCTAAATTGGATATCTTCATCAAACACCTCCCATCAGGGCTAAGGGAAGTATGCAGAAGAGGAGACAGAAAGATTTGACACCAAGGAAACTGTCTTCTATACATAACAGGACCACTGCAATATGAACTCATAATGAGTTCAGTAATGCACCAGGCCCGCACATTGGGGAGGCCTGCAGATTGGGGAAGAAGGGGGGACTGAGACAGGGAAATGGACATGAGCTCCTATCCCTAATCAAGAAGCTATGTGCAATTGACATCTGCTTACAAAGAAAAACACTGTCTTCTCCAATAGAGTCTCAATGAGTGATACTTAAGGGCAGGTTTTGGCCATGCCTAGCAGTAAATGGCCAATGCTAAATGAACTCAATGGTATTTTTGTAGACATTTTGTCTTTTGCTTGTATATTATGGCTTATGATTTTATGTTATGGTTTTAGGGTTTGTTTTTTTCTGTATGTATATATACTGTCTCTCCCTCTCTGTGTTTTTCTTTGTTTTTATTTTGTTCTCTTTTGTTTGTTTGCTAGAGAAAGGGGTGAGAGGGGAGAGAGGAGAGAGAGAGAAGCATAGAGTTGGGAGGGTAGGAAGGTGGAGAGGATCTAGAAATAGTTGAGAGAATGTAGACCAAGATCAGAATATTCTGCATGAAAAACATGTTGCTTCAATAAGAAAAGAACTATTTAAAAAGAGAGAGAGAGAGAGAGAGAGAGAGAGAGAGAGAGAGAGAGAGCTGTCTGAGACTAGAGAACCAGCCAGCGGGCACTGTTGCCACGTGGTTTCTGCTTCAGCTCTTGCCTGAGTGCCTGTCCTGACTTCCCTCGATGATAGATTGTGACCTGGGAGTTGTAAGATTAATCCCTTTCTTTCCCTAAGTTGCTTTTGGTCGTGGTATTTATCATAGCAATAGAAAGCAAACTAAACACTAACATATCTGGCCCTGTCCTTACCGGGGAGGTGGAAAAGTTTGGGCATTCTGGTTGTAGATTCAAGCAAATGGGGTCTTTTCGTGTGCAAGGTACCTGAGTAGAAGACTGATATAAATATATTTTTTTCCTGACCAGAGACACAATGTGACTAGCCACTTCATGCTCCCACAATCATGCCACGGCCCTCAAACCACATCCTTTCTTCACTTCTTCCTTCTTCCCTCTCTCCCTTCTTTTCTTCTTTCCTTTCTTCCTTTTTTGCTTGCTTTATTTCTGTTTGGAGGGGAGAGATTGGTTTATTTCATTGCTATTCTATCATTGTGAGGAAATCGAGGCAGGAACTTCAAATAACTAGTCACATCACATCTACAATCAAAAGCAGAAAGAAACGAAAGCATACACGCTTGCTTTCTCAATTTCTTGACTATTTTTCCTTTTTTAAGGGAAAATAGAGTATCTTTTTATGAATTCTTGGACAGCTTCATGCATATAAACAGTGTATCTTGATCATATACTCTATCAACTCCCCTCCTTTACCTTTCAGGCACCCTAATCATGTCCCCTTCCCACCTTCATGTCCATTTAGATTTTTTTGTGGGTTTGTCTTTTAAAGAATCAGCTGAATCCAACTAGTGTTGCCTGTTAGGTTGTCGACTAATCTTGTTGCCTTGATGTTATTTGTGTCTTCTGCAGGTAACCATTGCTGCAATGAGTTCCTGAGTGCAAGGCCGTGTCATGTCAGAAGACAGAACTTCACAGCATGCCTCCCCATCCTCAGCCTCTTAAATTCTTTCCATCCCTTCTTCTGTGATGTTTCCTGAGCCTTGTGGGGCAGGGGGAATGGATATGGATGTTCCATTTAGAGAAAAAAAGCTGAAAAGTCACTTACTCTGACCAGTTATGTGCCTCAGCATCAGCTGCTGACCGTTACAGAATGAAGCCTCTCTGGCCAAAGATGTGGGCAGGGCTAATCTATAAGCCCTGCCTTTCTTAAGTTTTTTTTTTTTTTTTCAAATTCTTTGTCATATCGATGAAAACTAACTGATGCAGATGCGTATCAAAGCAGTGGACTTTAAGAATCACTGCCTGACATCTCCCCAAGTCCCCCTTCTAAACTGCCCCACAGCATTTATAGACAGGTGGTAAAGAAAGGGAAAAGTAGTGAAGGAGAAAGGGAATAACACATCTTCGACTTTGGATAATAGGCAGGCAAGATCAGGTTTCTCTGCCAAGAATCCTGTGCCTCCAACTTTTTACACATTAAACCTAATCAGTTATCTGGTATTTGTTGTCATGTTCTGCATTGTCCTAGCCTTGAGTCCCCCAGAGCCCAAGAATGCAGTAGCAGGGATTTCTTACCTGCTTTCATCTTTCTTTGAAATCTGGGCCAGCACTCTAGAAAGAAACAGGCCTTGCATGCTGAAGTCTTTTGTACCCAGACTTCAAAGTTTAACACTGGAATGAAAGTCTTTTTCTACATAAGCCTATGGATTTTTCCCAGGAGAAAGGGAGAGATTTAAGTTTAACCACATTTGGGGAATGATCTTCGTGTGACACAGCTTTACTGACTTCTCTCTGGAAGAGCATGAGAACTGTAATAGCTGAGCATGAATGCTGGATTTGAACTTGCTGGAAGTGCAGCAAGCTGCTCCACAAACAAGAAGCTGACAGGAGACATTGGGGTTTATTTCCTGGCCTCTTTTTGTTTCAAACCAAAATATAAGTATTTGAGCTAAGAAATAGCCATTTTGTTATACCAAACTCCCAGGAGGCTGGATGATGCCTTCTGACACCAAGGTTGGATCTTGCCCATTCTGTTCACCAGGCTATATACAGTCTTTACCAAACATCCTCATAGAGCCACCTGGGGAAGCCAAATACTCCATTTAAACAGAAGCTACCAAAGGTTTTCCTTTTTACTGTAAGAGAAATGGGATTTGACTACTGAAACATTTGATACAAAATGCATCACCAACTACTGGAGTGTTCCTTAATTCAGTCAATTTTTGCCACCCCAAATCAACCAACCCAAGTATTCTGTCCATTTTATGTTGCCACAAACAAGAACTTCACACTGGATAACTTAGAGGAAAAGCAGCTTATTTTCTCTTACATCTAGAGGTTTGTGCAATCTAAGATCAAGGTATTGTCAGGTTGTCTAGTGAGGATGACACTCTCCTTCTAAGATGGCACCATAGGCATCCTCCATAAGGGAGGAGTACTCCATCTACACATGGCAGAAGGGCAAGTGAATGGGAATGCTGCACAGCTTCCCTTTTTATGCCTTTATTCCCATTCATAAAAGTGGAACCCAATGACTTAATAACTTCATAAGGCCACATTCTTAAGACAGTGATGGTGGAACACCTGAGTTTTGGAGGCCACACACTCAAACCATGAAACAAATATAAATGTTAACACAGGAAGGAAGAAGAGTAGATGTAGCATAAAGCAGTTGGGCTGATGATTCGTTGAAGGAATGAGTGAGTGAGTGGGTAAATCAGAGAACCAACAGTTGATGGCTCTGCCACCCACTGCCTTATCTCAAAGCCAAAGGATCATCTCTGAGTGAAATCCTCATGGCAGCATTAGTTAGGGGCTGAAGTTGGAGAGGCTTATTTTTTTTCTAGGGTATAGTTATTTACCTAGAGTCGAGATGAAAGGAAATTAAGGTAGTCCTCCTACCTTTCCACCCAATGTTGAATATAGGTGCAGTGAAGGAACAACGCAAACTCTGTTCCTGATGGTAACTTGTCCTATTTTTGTTTGAGGCTGGCAGACAATTGGCAAACACGGGACATTCTCTAATTTTCTTGACTCTTTAACCATGCCCCTGGTCCTAGGGAACACACACACACACACACACACACACACCCTGATGTCTCACCACCCGGCACAAACGGAACAAGAAAAGACTGAGCATATGTTCAGAAATTCATGTGTCCTCATCGTGTTGGATGGCAAAAGCTTGGTTGAGAAGAATGGCTTTCAATTCATCTCAGCTGCATGAGCTGCTCTACTATAACTCACCAATTGTGCGACAGAGTGGAGCAGACAGCTCTTCATTGTACCGTTTTATCGTGTAACTCTTAAAGCAGAGCTGTGGAAATACAGGAAAAGGTTCTCTTGTTCCTTGGTTTTATAATGAACTGGAATATCGTCTTTACGATGCCCTGGGTATTGCTGGTCGTAGACTCACACTGTGAAAAAAGTGTGTGTGCTTCTTTCGCCATCACATATTTGAAGTCACAGAAAACAACACATCTGTAGAATATCTGGGTGGGCACTGACGTGCTCATATGAAAGAGGATTGCTGGACTGGTGCCTGCCACACACCAGCTTGTAGGAGCCTGTTTCTAATCATACTTCTCCAATGCCATGTTTCGCAGTTCAGCCGAGTTCTGATATCCGAAATTAACCAACCCAAGTATCTGCCCATGAACATTTCTGTAACAAAATACTTAACACTAGATAACTTAGAAGAACAGAATTTTATTTTTCCTTAGTTCTAGAGGCTGTGCAGTCCAAGATCCAGGTATAGTCAGGTTGTCTAGTGAGGACTATGCTCTCCTTCCAAGATGGCATGAATAAAAATGACGTGGCTTCTAGTGTGGGGTATTCACCTTCACTGTTGTTGCCCAGCCTCTCCTATGTAGTTGGTGCTGAGTATGGAATTCTGATGAGATTCTGTCTTCGCTGTGACTGTCCTCCCAATAAAAGATCACGACACTTTGGCATTCTTGCAGTTCTATCAGTTATTTTTATGTAGTAATGGAGATGGCCACTGATAGTAGATAAAGGGTAAGGCAGCAAGTCTGAGCAAAATGGAACATGATGGGAAGGAGCAGGCATCTGTGACGTAAAAGTTCCGGGCTCTTGATCAAGGCAGAAACAAATAGCGGAGGTCAAGGCAAATTGTCTGCAAGAAATGAGGTAGAGTTGTATGAAATAGGCCCAAATAAAGCCTGATGCCTTGAGTCAATTGGAAGACAAATGATGGGCAATCAGAAGCCAAGGAATTCTTCACAGACAGAAAGCAAAACACAAAGAAGAATGCAAGGAGCCAGTGTGATGGAACTTCCTATTCATTCTGCCCAGTCCTGCCTTGGTCAGGGCACAGGTGTTCCCCTGAAAAAAAAAATAATCACACCTCTATTTGGCCCCAGACAGGTTTCTAAGACCATCACTGTAGGATATCAACAGCTATCACACAGTTTGAATGTGAAGCGATTGATACAGGCTCAGACGCTAAATATTGCATTCCTATTTGGTAATGCTGATGGTAGGTGACTGTATCATGAGGGCATCAATTTCCTTCATCTCTGAGTTCACAGCTGAATAAACATTGAGGTAGTAGGACTTGTAGAGTCATCTCCTTAGAGGACTGTCAAAGACATGCTATGGACATGTCTTTGAAAGGTGTACCTTGCCCCTTCTCTCTGTGTGTGTGTGTGGGGGGGTCATGAACTCATATGCATGTTGCTCCAAGCATCACTTTATAATTATTACTGAATATATTTTGAAAGGCCTACCTTTCAAATTATAGCTAAGCATGCAGAAAGGAAACCACATATCCGGGGAAAACTATCCCACAAGCATAACCAAGCATTGTGAGCTCTGGAGAACCTCAGTAAGTGCCTGCCTCATTTTTGAACTATACTCTGGAAGCCACAGGGCGGGTTGAGGTAAAGTAGTGAATTACTGATGATATCTAATCTTCACTTCTTATGATTTGGGGGGGGGTGTCCATTACAACACTCTGTTCAGTTGGAGCTGATGGATCCAATCTGAGCTTCCCCAAGCTTAGGGGCATCTTTCCTGGCTATGTTGCTGAATTACATTGAGAATGAAACTGGGAATGAAGGTTGAACTTCTTTGAAGGACAAGGAAACACCGTTAATGGGAAGTGAAGCTTGAAGCTAATATTGGAATCTCTCTGAACAAGCCCTGGGGCTTGGTTGATGGGCTAAAACAGAGTCAGACTGAGACCCAGGCTGTACATTCTTGGAAGGAATTAGAACACTGAACTAAGAGAAATATTCTGGGTGCTAAGGTTGCACACCCAAGTTTATTAAGGAAAAATGTATTCGATGCAATGTTTAAAAATATTAAACTAATGTGTAATTTATTCTCCTTTGTAAGTTAAGAAGCAACTCTGCTTGAATCCCAAAGAACACTGATCTGTATATGCTACTTCTGCAAAAAGAAACTGTGTACATAAGCAAGTCCCAGAATAGAGAAAAGGGAAAATCCTCCGTACAGCCTTTGGTGTCATGGGAAGAAGGAAGGAAGGAAAGTATGTACACTAGAAGTTAGACCTAACTATACTGACATCCTTGCCCAGTGAGTGCCCAGGGAATACATGCCTAGGCAACTGCATTTGCTCACTTCATTCATACTGACCCTTGGCTTTCTCTTCTGCATTGTGTGTGTGTGTGTGTGTGTATGTATATGTATGATTTTGGCATATGAATGTTTGCTAGCCTCTGCAATCTCTTGCAACAGAAGGAAATATACATTCATTTTAACAATATGTAAAAAAATGAAGAAAGATGGTATGAAGACTCAGGATAATCAAATGCTCTTCAGTTTTGGAAAGAAAAAGGACTGCACCTGTTTATTTCATGAATCTAGGAAATGTTTGGGCGTGCATGTGTGGGTGTGCATGTGTGTATGTGTGTGGTGGAGGATCTGCAGGCATAGAGTTGATGCTAAGGTTGGTAAATACTGCATGGGAATGAAAGTGACAATTTCCCATTTCTTGTACATTTTCAAGGAACCAGAGCACATATCACACACACACACACACACACACACACACACACACACACACACATTATTTATTGTTCAGAGAATTAGAACATTATGGAGTTCACTTAACACTAAAATGTGCTTCACATAATTTTAATCTATCTTTTATTACTATTTTAAGCTCCTGTCCCTCTGGGTTATTACTATGAATATAAGTTATTATCATGCAAGTCTGAAAAATCTAGGTTGTTCATACTTTCTGGTTATTTTATCCTGAATGAATGAGAGTTTCTGAACAATACTTTAATTACTGTGCAGAATTAAAGTTGAATGTCCAGATCATTTTGAGATGTGATTGGGAAAGCAGAAACATGTCCTAAAGTCGTGAGGAACATGGAAAACTGCAACTTGTAACTTTTTAGTGATGATTTCTAAATCCAATCCACAAAATTTCCCAAGGAGGAAGAATTCATGTTTACTTAAGGAGATGAGAAAGCATTTTAGTGGAGAGATTGCTTTTTAGCA